GCTGGAGTCCCAGGTGTTCCTCTTAAAGGGCCCATGCACAGACTTACTCAGACTCACCTCCTCTGAGCTCCAGAGCTGATGTCCAGTAAGTCACCAGGGACATACGGGGAGGAACTGAAGCGTCTGACATCAGGGCAAGAGCTGGAGGGAGAGCTTTCTCCCAGACAAAAGTGCAGGAAGAGGTCACTGTTCATTTTCTGAGCCCTCCTCCCACAGACCCAGCAAGTGAGAGCTATATCTAAGTCTCCATCAACTTGGCTAACACAATTAGCCCCACCTTGGTGATTCCCAGAGACCCTGCCCCACCCAACCTGCAGGCCCATCCAAGCTGTTTCCAGTGTTTTTTCCATATGAATGTCCTGTCTTGGCTCATGCTTCAGACTTTTCTATAATCTCTTAAGCAGCATCTGGCTTAGGTATACCCTGTACCTCTTGCTAAGTGGTCCCAAGCCAAGCACTAGTGGAAGTCTGCCTTGGTTCACAACTTGGCCTCTCCTGGGCACATCCAAGCCCAACACAAATAGCAGCCATCTACAGATTGCTTTTGAGCTCATGCAGGGAGGCCCTGTGCACAACACAGGTGGCAGCTGACTTTGGTTTTCACCTCCAAGGAGATCCCAGAGCCAGTGCATCTGGTGGACAGCTTCAGACCACATCAAAGCACCACCACCCAACCATACCCACAAGCAACACACTCAAGGGGCAAACTCAGCAGGCACCAGAACCCTGCTGAAGCAAGTCCTGCTCTGTGGGATGGGTCCCTGCACAGCTGATCCTCTATAGTGGTGGCAGCCAGTCCTTGCAGCCAATCTGCCTGGGGTTAAATCCCTCCCATTGATGTGTCAATAGTGACCAAGGCTCAACTACAACAGGAGGGTGTATACAATCCACACAAGGGTGGGGGTGCACCTGGAGTCTCCAGCTTGGTGACTGGAGAGGCTGAGCCACTGGATCCTACAGAACACCTACTACATAAGGCCACTCTACCAAGCCTGGGAGATGTAGCAGCTCTACCTAATACATAGAAACAAACATAGGGAGGAATCCAAAATGAGGAAGCAAAGAAACATGTCCCAAGTGAAAGAATAGAATAAAACTCCAGAAAAAGAGCTAAACAAAATGGAGACAAGCAACTTACCAGATGCAGAATTCAAAACACTGGTTATAAGGCTGCTCAAAGAACTTACAGGAAGAGTAGATGAACTTAGTGAAAACTTCAACTGCATAAAAAGGACACGGAAACCATGAAGAGCCAGTCAGAAATGAAGAACAGAAGTCTGCGTGAAGATGGAAGCAGAGATTAGAGTGATGCATCTGCAAGTCAAGAATATCAAGGATTGCTGGCCACCAGCAGAAGCCAAGAAGAGACTGTGATTTTTTCCACAGAGCCTTCAGAAGGAGCACAGCCCTGCTGACACCTTGATTTTCAACTTCCAGCTTCAGAAATGTGAAAGAATAAGTTTTTGAGTTTTAGTCACCCAGTTTGTACTACTGTTATAAAAGGCCTAGGAAAGAAATACAGTCAGCTTCTGCAGACCCATCTCTAAATCACTCAACCAACATGTACTTTCTAACATCCTATTACTGTAACACTCCACAGCTCCCAATGTCATGAGTGTCCCCTCACTGCACTGAATAATAAACAAACCCACATTGTTTTACTCAAAAAAGAAAGAAGAAATGAAGAATACATTAATTAAAATGAAGAATACATTGCAGGGAATCAACAGTGAAGCACATGAAGCAGAGGATCAAGTCAGAGATTGGGAAAATAAGGAAGCAGAAAACACCCAATCAGAACAGCAAAAAGAAAACAGAATCCCCCAAAATGAGGATAGTATAAGGAGCCTCTGGGGACAATTTCAAGCGTATCAGGGTTTGCATCATGGGGGTGCCAGAAAGAGAAGAGAGCAAGCGAGGAATTGAAAATCTATGTGAATATAATGACAGAAAACTTACCTAACCTGGTGAAGGAAATAGACATACAAGTCCAGGAAGCACTAAGAATCCCAAAGAAGATAAATCCAAAAAGGCCCATGTCAAGACACATCATAATTAAAATGCAAAAGGTCAAAGACAAAGAGAGAATTTTAGAAGCAGCAAGAAAGAAGCAGTTAGTTACCTACAAGGGAGCTCCCATAAGACTGTCAACTGATTTCTTAACAGAAACTTGGAAGGCCAGAAAGGACTAGCAAAAATATTCAAAGTGATGAAAAGTAAGGACCTACAACCAAGATTACTCTATCCAGCAAAGGTATCATTTAGAATCAAAGGACATATAAAGAGCTTCTCAGACAAAAAAAGCTAAAGGAGTTCATCACCACCAAACCAGTATTACATAAAATGTTAAAAAGTCTTCTTTTTTTTAAAAAAATATATCTTTATTGATTTCAGAGAGAGGAAAGGAGAGGGAGAGAGAAACATCAATGATGAGAGAGTCATTGATCGGCTGCAGCCCGCAACCTGGGCATGTGCCCTGACTGGAAATCGAACCCTGATCACTTGGATCCTAGGTCGACACTCAACTGCTGAGCCACGCCCGGCTGGGCAAAAAGTCTTCTTTAAGAAGGATAAAAAAGCAAAAATATGTATAATGGCAATAAATACATATTAACAGTTGAATCCAAAAGAGAAAATAAGCAAGCATAACAAATTCAGATACAGAGAACATTTTCATAGCTGCCAGATAGGAGAAGGTTAAGGGGGATGACTGAAAAAGGGGAATGAAATTAAAAAGTAAAAAATTATACAAAAAAAATACCAATGACATTTTTCGCAGGATTAGAACAAATAATCCTAAAATTTAAATGGAATCATAAAAGATCTCAAATAGCCACAGCAATCTTGCAAAAGAAGAACAGTTGGAGGTATCACATTACCTGATATCAAACTACACTACAAGGCTTTAGTAATCATATTAACATAAACACAGACTGACAGATCAATGGAACAGTATAGAGAGCCCAAACTCATGTGGTCAATTAATCCATGACAAAGAAGGCAAGAATACATAGTGGGGCAAAGACAGTTTATTCAATAAATCGTGCTGGGGAAACTGAACAGATACATGTTAAAAAAAAAAAAGGAAGAAAGAAAGTAGACCATCTTCTTACACCATATACAAAAATAAACTAAAAATGAATTATCGGCTTAAATGTGAGACTGAAACCATAAACCTCCTAAAAGAAAACATGGGCAGTAGACTCTTTGACATTGCTCTTAGTCATGTTTTTTTGAAATTTCTCCTTGGAGAAGGGAAACAAAAGGAAAAATAAACAAATGTGACTATGTCAAACTAAAATTTTTTGCACAGCAAAGGAAACCATCAACAAAACAAAAAGACAACCTACCAAATAGAAGATGACATTAGCCAATGATAGATAATCCGCTGATGGGTTAATATCCAAGATTTATAAAAACTTTCAACTTAACACCAAAAAAGCAAAACAATTCAATTAAAAAATAAGCAGAGAACCTAACAGACACTTCTCCAAAGAGGAGATTATAGACGGCCAAAAGACATGTGAAAAGATGGTCAACATCACCAATCAGGGAAATGTAAATTAAAACCAGAAGATATCACCTCATACCTGTCAAAATGGCTAGCATTAATAAATTAACAAACAAGTGTTGGCAAGGATATGGAGAAAAGTGAACCCTCGTGCACTACTGGTGGGAATACAAACTGGTGCAGCCACTGTGGAAAACAGTATGGAGGGTACTAAAAATTAAAAACAGAACTACTTATGACCCAGCAATTCCACTTCTGGGCACTTATCAGAAGAAATCCAAAACACTAATTTGAAGATATATGTACCCCTATGTTCACTGCAGCATTATTTACAACAGCCAAGATATGGAAGCAACCCAAATGCCCATCAATGGGCAACTGGATAAAGATGTGGTACATATATACAATGAAATACTAATTAGCTATAAAAAACAATGAAATTTTACAATTTGCAACAACATGGATGAACCTAGAGGATATTTTGCTGAGTGAAATATGTCAGTCAGAGAAAGACAAATGCCATATGATTTCACTTATATGTGGAATCTAAAAAAAAAAAAAAATACAGTGGAACTTCGGTTTTCAAACTTAATTCATTCTGGAAGACTGTTCAAGAAGCAATATTTATGAAGGGGGAAAAAAAACACAGCTGTAATATTTTCAACAATAAAGTTAAAAAAAAAAGGGGGATTTGTTAAAAAACCAAATCATTTTTTCCCATTAGAAATAATGTAAATTGAATTAATTCATTCCAGATCCCCAAATGATTGTTTTAACCTATCTTACACATGTCTAATGCACTGCTTAGTCTATAAACAAACACTTCTTTTCTTAAATTTACTGAACCACCCCCTACTAGCCTTAAATAAATCACTTTCAGCACTTGTTCCAGGGGTGTCTTTCAGGAGGTCAGCATGCAGCATCTTTGCTTTTTCACCTATCATTGCTCCGAAATACTGTCACCTGCTAAACGCGTTTTATCTGAATCAACAGTTTTTCTACTTCAATTGCCTGTGATCATTGTTTCTTTCACACCCATGGCAACATTAGCACTCTTGATGGCCTGTTTTGAAATTGTGTTAATATCCATTTTGCCAGCAACAAAAGCAAAAACCCACAAAAATACTCAAAGCATGATTTCCTGAGATGCTGACAAGGGAGGTTTAGTGGTAAACTGACTTGAATTCATCCTCTCCTTTGTGGCCTGAGGGACGCTTTTTGTCTTGCTGATATATCAGCATGAAAGGGTTGTCAGGTTGAGAATTGGTTTTTGTGTCCATGAACAACTTGGTTAAGAACTGAATTGTTTGAGATGGGAGACTTTCGAGAACCAAGGTTTGACTGTAAATTGAATTATCTGGTCCAGACCCCCAAATGATTCCATTTTAAACTTTCTTATATACAGTAGATGGTGCTGTTTATAAACACTTTAAAAACAAAAAGGAAATGTACAGTAAAAATGAAAATTTACATACACATTAGAACTTACCTTTGATGTTGAGAGCTACTGATGACAATATGGAGAGGAGGGATGCTACTGTTTGGAGGGATGCTATTGTATGTCCCTTCCATGAAACGTCAGGTAGCTATTCTTCTGGGGTTCTTTCCCTTTCTCCTCTTTGCTCCACTAGAACTTGCTTCAGGCTCACGGGGCCCCCGTCTCACTAAAAACCTATCCAGTGATTGTTTTTGCCTGCGTTTTAACACTTGCCTGAAGTGAAACACTGCATTGTCATTGAACAAGTTTATCGCATGGTTTGCTAGTTCTTTGTCAGGGTGGTATTTCTCAATAAAACTTTGCATTTCTCCCCATTTCCCAAGCATTCCCTTGATTAGTGAAGTAGGAACATCCTCCCTTCCCTTCTCCTCCTCTGAAGACAGTACCTCTGCTGCCGTCTGCTGCTGCTCCCTCTGCAAGTCTTGGAGTTCCTCCGTGGTCAGCTCAGTGCTGTGGTCCCCCACCAACTCCTCCACATCACCACCATCCACCTCCAAGCCCAGGGATTTGCCCAGAGACACAATATCCTCCACAACAGACATAGGCTCGTCCTCGAAGCCCTCAAAATCTCTTCCAGCAGCAGACTCAGGCCACAGTTTCTTCCAGGCTGATTGCATGGTCCTGGGAGACACTTCCCCCCATGCTCTGTCTATGAGCCTCAAGCAGGTGAGGATATTAAAATGTTCCTTCCAGAACTCCCTGAGGGTTAAATTTGCTCCAGAGGTCACCTCAAAACACCTCTGAAACAGTGCCTTTGTGTAGAGCTTCTTAAAGTTAGAAATGACCTGCTGGTCCATGGGCTGGATGAGAGGAGTTGTGTTAGGTGGCAAGAACTTAACAGTGATGAAGCTGTACTCCTCCACCAGCTCAGCTTCCAAGCCTGGAGGGTGGGCAGGAGCCTTGTCCATTACAAGAAGTGCCCTTACTGGCAATTGCTTTTCCCGGAGATATTTTTTCACACTTGGGGCAAACACTTCATGTATCCACTCAATAAAAAATTGCCTGGTTACCCAAGCTTTACTGTTAGCCCTGCACATTACATTCAACTTGTTTTTCACAACATTTTTCTTGAAAACTTGTAGGTTTTCAGAACGGTAGACAAGTAGAGGCTTCAATTTGAAGTCCCCACTTGCATTTCCACACAGCAATAATGCCAGTCTGTCCTTCATTGGCTCGTGTCCCGACAATGACTTCTTTTCCTGTGTGATGTAGGTCCTCTTTGGCATTTTCCTCCAGAAAAGGCCTGTCTCATCACAATTGAACACTTGTTGGGGAACAAACCCCTCAGCCTCTATGTATTCCTGAAACTCTGTCACGAAATTATCAGCAGCTACTTTGTTAGAACTGGCAGCCTCCCCGTGCCTCACTACACTATGAATGCCACTTCTTTTCTTAAATTTATCAAACCACCCCCTACTAGCCTTAAATGAACCACTTTGAGCACTTGTTCCCGGGGTGTCTTTCAGGAGGTCAGCATGCAGCCGCTTTGCTTTTTCACATATCATTGCTTCCGAAATGCTGTCACCGGCTAACTGTTTTTCATTTATCCAAACCAACAACAGTTTTTCTACCTCTTCAATTGCCTGTGGTCGTTGTTTTGTGAGCACCTTCACACCCTTAGCAACATCAGCACTTTTGATGGCCTCTTTATGTTTTAAAATTGTGCTAATCGTTGATTTCGCCATGCCATACTCCATAGCCAGATCAGACACACGAACACCTCTATCATACTTTGCAATTATTTCTTTTTTAAGCTCTATTGTTGTTCTCACAACTTTCCTTTTCATTTTGCTATCACTAACTTTCTTAGGACCCATGGTGACTTACAGTACGTATTTAATAAGCAGCAGCAACAAAAGCAAAAAAAACCACAAAAATATTCAGAGCACAATTTCCTGAGATGCTAATGTGAGGTTTAGTGGTAAACTGACTCATACTCGCGCATTCTCTCCTTTGTCACCTGAGAGACACGTGACTGATCATACAGGTATCAGCATGAAAGGGTTGTTGGGTCGAGAACCGAAGTTTTGTTCAACAACCAAGACGTTTTTCTGTGCGCAACATGGTCGAGAACCCGAATTGTTTGAGGTGGGGGACATTCGAGAACTGAGGTTTGACTGTAAACAAAAAAACAAAACAGAAAGCAACTCATAGATTCAGAGAACAAACTGATGGTTGCCAGATGGAAAGAACATTGGGGGTATGGGTGAAAAAGGGGAAGGGATTAAAAAGTACAAACTGGCAGTTACAAAAAAATCACAGGGATGCAAAGTACAGCACTGAGAGTATAGTCAATAATGTAATAACTGCATATGGTGCTAGGTTGGTACTAGACTTATTGGGAATGTCACTTCATAAATTATATAAACATCTGAAGCTAATATAATATTGTATATCAACTGTAATTGAAAAAAAATATTTAAAAGAAGAGTGATCTTTTAAAAACGTTAAGTCATCTTTCCTTGCCAAAATTTTCCAATGGCCTTCCAATGAACAATTTCCTTATGATTGGCCTCCATGAGCTCTCTGGCCACATTGACTACTCTCCCCATTGCTCACTGTGTTCCACTCACACTAACTTTTCTGACTCTGGAATTCCCTGGGCAGGCTCCCACATCAGAACTTTTGCCCTCACTGTTCCCTCTGCCCAGAAGGTCCTCCCCAGATATCTACATGGCTATATCCCTTACCTCCTTCAAGTCTTTTTCAAATGTCACTCTCTGGGTTCCTTCAAAGCAAACCCAGAGACAAAGACTTTGGAGAAGATAGTTTACCTGGAAGTTCATCCCAGGAATTATGGTGAGGGAGTGAGGGCACAAGCGGCCCTGGCTGGTGTACCAGGCTCAGTGGTTAGAGCATTGGCCAGCGCAATGAAGGGTCGCAGGTTCAATTCCTGGTCAAGAGCACATACCTGAATTGCAGGTTTGATCCCCAGCCCATCGGGCTGCATGTGGGAGGCAACCAATTAATGTGTCTCTCTCTCTGCCCCCTCCCTCCCACTCTCTCTAAAAAAGTATCCAACCCTCATCCTTTACTCTTTGGGGTCGCTCCCAGGGACATTATTCCCTGGCACAGTTGGCTTACCCTGCATGACTCCTGCTTCCAGAGCATACCCTTGGGCAGGGACAGAAGCTGTTATCATGTATGTGAATTAGCTGCAGGAAGTAACCCTCTCTGGGGTTGTCTGAGGGGACACAGAAGAGACACCTTGAGCCTGCTCTCGTCACTTTCTCAGTGTTGCTTACCCAGACTGCTCTGTTTAAAACTGGAAGCTATACCCCACAGCTTCCCTATTTGCTTGGTTTTCTCCACTCCACTGATCCCTTTATGATATATAATTTACTTGTCACACACTGTTTTCTGCTCATCTTCCCGCCAACTCTGTTCACTCATGTGTATTCTAAATCCTAAGCAGTATCCTGCTTCAGAGTAGGTCCTCTGAAAATATTTAATAAGTGCATGAAAAACCTAAAAGAAACCCTTTTGACATCTAGTGGGTAAACTGGATAACTTCATCTATTAGTCTCCAGAGTCGGAAGAAGCTATATGAAAAGAATATTGTCACTGTCTTATTTTACAAATATGTATTGTGGGGACAATAACTCATATTCTTTGATGTCTAGGATCTGTCTTTTCTATTATATTTTGCTACTTATTACTCCCAAAGTATTACTACTTACACTTTACTACAATGCCCTATAAGACCATTTTCAAGGTGCTTTCACATATATTCTCACTTGACAGTTACAGTAACTATGTGATGTGGACAAAACTAGAATTATTATCCCTTTACTGAAAATCTAAATAATTTTCTAATTCCCTTTTGAATTCAGAAGGATGGTCTTTCAATCCTTTTCTCTCTTGCTCTCCCCTTGACAATGATACTAATTTTTTACCAGTTTTAAAAAGTGCTGAATGTACCTACGGTTTGGGGATGGATTAAGTCTTGGTTTCTATGGCATTTGGAAGGTCTCTTTTGATTCATTTAGAAATATCTAAGTTTCTTCTTTGTCCTCTGTTTAATTTTATTTAAAGAGTCTCAAAAGGGTACACATTTTGAATTACTCAACTGTTTAGAAACACTAAAGAAAGCTGATTTTTGTATACTAGGGATTTTGTTTCCTTTGTTACAGGAAACCCATTTTTTGCATATATGGACAAGTGTCATGTCATAGCAAGTAAACATGAAAAAGGACAGTTTTGGAAAGAGGAAAAGGGCTATGATCTCTAGTTAGAGGAGCCAATACTGATGCAAACATAAAACAGACAAACAAGCCAGACTCTTAAGTGAACCACATGCCACACTGTTTCATCTGCCTCCCAGCTGGGACCTGATTCCTATGGTCTCCCACACAAGAGGAATCACTTAATGGCTCAGCCATGAAATAAAAACTCAAGAGTTCCCCCACTGCTATTCCACTGTGGGCATAAGCAGTCATAATCACACTCCATACAAATTTAGCCAAGAATTAGATTTAGTGTGCAAGAGCCAATGAGCTCAGAAATGAGACTTGTAGGTGCAGCCAAGGAAGGTCAGCTGAAGACAAAAAGGGTCTAGGTCTGAACGGGACACACTTTTAGGCTACATGTTTCTATTGTCAGCTACAGCTGGCCCAAGTAGGCATTGGCACCAGAAATAAACTGAAAGAAACATTTAGTTATTTGCACACGTTTAGTATTTTCCATGTGCATAAATTCCTGACACGTAAAGGAGTAAGTGGAGACTGAGTCAGGCACAAAGGAAAAACAAAAACATGGCAGATTGCTGTATCAGTGATCCCCAGGGAACCAACGGACCCGTCAGTATTCATGTTCTGGTGTTGAATCTGGGCTTGGCTATGTGACTTGCTTTGGTCAAGGGGACATTAATTAGCACGCATGGTGAGAACAGAGGCTTGATAGGCGCTTGCCTTCTGGAGAAAAAAATCTAACTACCCTGAGACAGCCATGCTGTGAAGATGTTAGCCAGTTATGTAGCAAGGCCACATAGAGAAGCAATGAGGTACAATACATGCATGATGAAGCTTGTTCGATCTTCCACACCAGATCCCAGCCACCAGCTAAATGCAGTGGACTAACTCTGGGTGGTAGCCCACAGAGCAGGGGAAATAAATCATTGTTTTAAGCTATAACATTAAGGAGTGTTTTAATGAAGTTGTTGATTTTAATGCAGCAGTAAGTTTGATACAGGATTTATATGAGAAAGGGAAAAAAACTGTATCCTGAGAATAAATTTTGTTTGTGTACTTTTGGAGTAAACTGATTAGCTGGCACCTGCAAAGAGGTCAGGCTGAAATTCTGTCCTTGAACAAGTTCTCTAGGAATACTGAAGAACACTATTTTTGTTGTTTATTAATTCTCAGGAAAACCTTGAGGGTTTATTTACAGAGCATACTTGTGTAATGTGTGCTAGTGTCTTGATATTACCTTTGACCTTGTTAGTTCAAGTTTGTACAATTTTCCTTATTAGAATTAAAAAAACAACCTCCAGAGATTGGAAAAGAACAACTCTGGAGTGGACCAGGAGGATCTGGAGCCCCTCCCCCTCCAACTTTTTTTCATTTAAAAACAGCACCTGTGACATCAGCAGTCTGTACAGCCCATTAGTCAACAGTCACAGTTACCTAAGCAGGCTCAGGCCCTTGCAGCCAACTCTAGAACCTGGGTTCCATACGTGGCATTGCACTGAGAACCAGGTGGGAAAGGCACTGGAGTTAGGGTCCTGGATATACAAACTGCTTAGTGGGTCCAAGTGGCCTATGGACACAGGATCTCCCTGAATGCTGGGAGTAGGATGATGATGAAGACAAAGGACAAAGGAGAGATTATCTGGTGACAGAGAAATACAGATAGAAACAGAGGAAAATGGAATTAAGAGCTGAAATACTTACGTTACAGACTCACCAAAGTGAAATAGAACTAAAAATTATTTACCTGGAAGACGGGGTGACTCTGTCACTGGTGACTGGAGCTCTGGGGCTGCACTTTCTCCTCAGCAAGGTGGGCTGCAGCAGGGTGAGCTGTGCTTGGCAGGGGCTGCAGTGGTTTGGGATCTGGGTACATGAGTAAAACGTTTTCTAAGACTGTGGCACCTCTCACACCAACCGAGAACTCACCTATGTGTTCTCTTCAGCTCTCTGTTCCCCATCATCCCTATCCCCCTGGGATATCCCACATTTCTGTCCACTTCTCACCTGACTGGCTCCCTAGCAGGGCCTCAGGCCGGTCTCCCCAGAGCACATGCCCAGGATCGTTGAGGAACCGTTGGCTGCGCTGGCATGTTAGGCAGGTCTGTACTGTCCAGCGCTGCCCCCTGCAGCCTGGGGTGGAAGTGGGAAAAATGGAAGAGTGCTTGGGTTTAGAAGAAAAGGTCTCCTGCACCGTTTTGTCTCCACTGTTTTCTAGTAGGAATTCCATTTGCTCCCCACTTTGAATGCAAATTTGACAGTTTGAGAACCCTGTATAAACTATCAATGTCTTGGTACTCTTTAAGAAAAAGTCCAAACTCCTTTACAAGATTCTACAAGATCTGCCCTGTTTCCTTCTCCAGCCTCATGTCTTGTGCACTTCAAACTCCAGTCTCCTAAACTCTCATTCTTTGTGTGTTTTTTTGTTAATCCTCAGTGAAGAATATTTTTTCCATTAAATTTTAGAGCAAGTGGAAGGTAGACAGGGATGGGGTGGGGGGTGGAAGAGAGGAAGAAAAACACTGATGTGATAGAAACACATTGGTTGCTCCTGCTTGTGCCCCAACTGGGGCCAGAGATTGAACCTGCAACACAGGTACATGCCCTTGACCAGGAATTGAACCCATGCCCTTTTGGTGCACAGGCGCAGCTCTAACCACTGAGGCACACCGGCCAGGGCTCTCCTTTTCTTGACAGCACCACAAACTCTCATCTCAATCAACACCCATGCTGAGAATTTCCATCTCCTATTTCCTTTTCTTATCTCGAATCTCACCACTACTGGCATAATTAACTTAGCATTACACTCCAAAATAAAACATTTTCCTCTCACATCTGTTTCGCTCTCTCTAAAATCAGATATAGTCTTGGACGAGGATTAAAAAAAAAAAAAAGACAACAGCCAGGGCAACCAAAGCTGCCCGCTGTGAGTCAAAATTATACCTATTTTGTCAGATTGGCAAAAACACATTTTGTGGTGCGCCGCAGTATTTTAGTTATTAGTTTATGTGTGCCATGAGATGAAAAGCTCTGTTCCACAGTATTTTTTAAAAACTTACCTTTATTGTTGAGACTATTACAGATGCCTCTTTTTCCCCCCCGCTGACGCCTCCACTCAGCAGCCGCCATCGCCCCCACTTCACTATTTTGTTTCTCAGTCTGTCCCATCAGACTATACAGTGGTACCTCAGTTTTCAAATGTAATCGGCTCCAGGAGACCGCTGGAGGTCTGAAAGGCTGGAAATCCTCCAGCCGACAGCGAGGCTCAGGACCCTGCCCTCAGAAGCCCAGCTGCACGTGGGACTTCCCCCGCGTGCTCAACACCCAAGCATTTACTTCCGGGTTTACGGCGGGCGTAAACCGAAAAGCTCAACGCAGACGTTGGGAAACCGAGGTATCAATGTACCGTCAATGAGAATAATGAATCTAGCACAATATGTGACACATCTTAAAAAAAATAAGTACTTGTTGCATGAATGGTGAGGAATCGTCCTCCACGATGCCAAATAACATCCTCACGCACCAGTGGGGCTGCCTCTCAGGGCCAAGTCCCTCTGCTGCCCAAGCGCAGGTAACCGAGCGCGGAGCCCACCGGCCGGTGGCGA